TCCAACCCCTGACATTCTGAGATTCTGTGACCACATCTGTAACAGCAGCTGAAGGTCTTGATGGCAGTAACAGTGTGTTGAAGACATTTCCTAATAGCATACGGAGTGGTCTCCTAATTCATGAAAACTCAGGCTATGAAGGAGGAAGACAATGAAGTCGATATCTGGAGTTTCTTTACTTTTATCATAACTTAGTGTTAGTTTATGTGCAACTTCTCTTGCTTTTTACCTTGGGAAACAATTGATTGTTTCCATGAGATGCTGATCCAGTTCCATGGGAACTGTGGAAGATGTAGCAGAGGATGTTCCAAGTGTTTTATAAACTTTATTATCTGTTTAAGGCAGGCTATATTTGACTCTTAGAATTAACAAATGCAAATACATAAATGGCTGTTGCATGTGTTAATTAGAGACAGCTAGTCTGACTACATAGCTCATGCCATCCTTTTAGATACAGCCTCTGAAAATAGTTGGCTAAGTTTCCTAGTTACGTGATAGAACTGCTTTATTAATTAATAGCTACATGTTAGGCTCAATTAAGTACCTAACATGGGCTGACTGACTCTTAGCATTAGGCTGTCTGCTTCTTGTCTGAAGTAACGGCTGCAAATGCAGTGCATCTGGACTTTGAGTAAAAAACCAGAAGTGCATTCTTTGCTGAATATCAGTAGTCTCCGAACACAGTCTGGATGGATCTGAGGAAATATCTTGGGGTATTTTATCTCTGGTATTCAAGACTCTTTGGAAATCAGCATGACGGGTCATACGCGTTCATGGACTTCCTCATATTTTGTGCTTCTTTTAGCTTTGCAAGAGAGACAAGGCTGTCGTTTCCAGCACTTCTCAGCTTTGCGGGATCTCACTCAAAATCCACAGTATCTCATCATAAGCTTTTGGTATGGGTAGTGCTGCTAAAAATTAAGTATTTTAGAGAAAATGGGGTTTTTTTTGATGGTGTGAGTTTTGCTTTCCCTTTATTTTGAAGGCATGCATGTTGCAGGTATAAAAACAACGGCAATTTATTGAGAATTTTACTCCTCATCTTGAAATTTGATCGAAGACTGCGAAAGACTTCTCACAGGGAAAATAGTCAACACACTTGTGTCTTGTAAAGTAGATTTATGATTATGTCTGTCTGTGTCCAAGAGTAAAGTAATCAAACAGCAGCATGTTAATAGGAAAAATATTTCATGACTGGCAGGATACAACGTTTGAATTACTCCCTCAGGAAAAAAGGTTTTATAAATATATACTTGTTTCACTCCATTGGTCTTAAGTAAATCATGCACTATAACTGCAAATGCATTTTAAATAATATTCTTTAAGATGAAATACATTTTAGTATGTTTTAGACGTATATCAGTGGTGTACAAAATAATGATATGCTATATGTATATTTTCATAGGGACTTTTTTTTTGTTGTTTTTCATGATTTGAAATTTAAAGCAGTACTTTAAAAGTGTTTAAAAGCAGCCTGTAATTATTTGCTCCTTAGGTGTTTTATCCTCTCCATAATGTCTTCAATATTCTTGTTTTACTAGTGACTTCTGCTAGTGGAGAGGGTACTCTGTGTATAGGGTTTTTTTGTTTTGAGTTTTGGTGGGAGTTTTTTTGAGAAAATGTCCAATTCTGAAACTATGCTCTTAGACTGTAAGTTTTTACATGTTATTTACCTATCCCTGGATCTCTACAATACAAATGAAGTGAAATTATTCTATGTAATCAAACAAATAGTTCTGGAGTATGGCAGTGCAAGAATGGCATAAATACGTGTGAAGTACAGAAGCAACAACGATGTAGGATAATGGAGAAGTTATTTTTAAAAATATAGCTCTAGCAGAGTAATAAATTGCAGATGTCAAGATTCTAGTGCCAGTGTTGCTGACATAAATTTTTTTAAGCTTGTTTGAGGATTTTTTTCTTTATGTTTTAATTTGTACATTCTATTCAATGAGTATTTCCAAGTATAGGTTAACTGACATTTTCAATTGTAAAACCCTTTCCACAGTTGTAAATTCAACCGAAAGTTGACACATCAGTAATCTATTTCGTGTTGATATTTAATGGGAATTTTTTTAAAAAGTAGTTTTTCAAGAATGTGGATGTTTTTCTCCCCAATTCACACATTTTTGAAGCTTTTAAAATATTCACCAAATAGTAAACCTATGGCTTTCAGTTAAGATTTTTGATTTGGTAGCTACCTTTATGCCTTCTCAGCGTAGCGTCCATGCCCCAGCTCAGCAGAGCAGCATTTGCAGTTCCTGCTCTCAGCTTCGGAGAACAGAGGGTGAAAGGGCCGTGGCCATGGACGTAGCTGATGGCTTGGAATTTGCCAAAGACAGGAGGGATGAAAGGGACAGAAAGGTGAAGGTTTAGGTGTGGGGAGCGAGAGGCAGTAGTGAGAATGTAGCTTGGTATCAAGGAGTGTGAGATGTGTGTCTCCTATGAAGACAGACTGAGAGAGTTGGGGCTGTTCAGTCTGCAGAAAAGAAGGCTCCGAGGAGTCCTTATTGTGGCCTCCCAGTATCTCGAGGGGGCTACAAGAAAGCTGGGGAGGGGCTTTTTAAGATATTGGGTAGTGATAGGACTAGAGGGAATGGATTAAAGCCAGAGATGGATCGGTTCAGACTGTACATTATGAAGTTCTTCCCCATGAGGGTGGTGAGACACTGGCACAGGTTGCCCAGAGAGGTGGTGGAAGCCCCATCCCTGGAAGTTTTTAAGGCCAGGCTGAACAGGGCTCTGGGCAACCTGGTCTAGTGGGGGGGTTGGAACTAGATGATCTTTAAGATCCTTCCAACCCTGACAATTTTATGATTCTATGATATCACAAGTGCAAATGGTATTGGCAATAAATACCTGACTTAAATGAAAAAGTAGGATTTTTACCCTGTGGCCCTTAAATGATTGGTAAAGAATTTGCAGGAATGTTGTTAGGAAAGTGTGCAAAGAGTTGTTCCATAACAAAAACTATCTCTGACAAAACTCAACTGAGAATTCAAAAAACAGTATTACCAAACTATTCCACTAACATATTTCAAGACCAAGATTATCTGCCAAAACAAGGGTTAAAAATTACTGAAGTGCAGATATGGATATAAAACTCAGTGAGAGATGACTGTATTTCGTTCAGGGTCTAAAATTAACCTCCAAAGTGACAGTTTAGATTTTGGGTTTGTGAGGGTTTTGCTTGTTTGTATGTGTAAAGGCACTGAAGGCACTGTAAGCTAAATGGCAGGATCATCTGTGTTAGTTTTTTTCTCGGAAAAAGTTCAAACCTCTTGATTATTTCAGATCAAGCTTTTCTTTACTACTATTATTGCAAGAGAGCATTAGAAATAGTTGTCCTCATTTCTAATGACACTGTTGTGTTTTTATTAATACACTGTGCCAATACTCAAAGGAATGAAATAACACCAAGGTTCAGAGCTCACTGGTATATTCTGTTTAAGACCATTACTAGCACAGAAATCCTTCACACTTGTTCCTGCTCTATCAGTCTCACACTTTCCCTGTTGCTCACTCTATTCCAGCCTTGCGTCATTCTCCTACGTCCTTCCCAATATCACCTGCACCTTTCCTCTTTGTAAAGAAAATTATGCTCCGCACTGCCTGATGTTGTTGTTCTTGCAATTCCTGCCTCATTCTTTTCCTCCTTGGAGTGCACAGTTGAATCAGTCCTCTGTCACAGATGACTGGCAGTTTTTTCTGCTACCAACTCAACCTTCTACAGCTGTAGTGTATTAAGTCAAACTGTGGTTTCCTTAGCGCACCATAAATCCATACATACTCTGTGGTGTTACACTCTGCTGCCTTTTCTCCCAAACCCTGCCCACAGCTCTTGGCCTGATGGGCTCGTGATTTCCAGAGCACTGTAGTTCATGGGTTTATTGTTGATGTACATAAGTAGGTAAGTTTGTCCCAGGCAGAATGAAAGATTGCAGCCTCGTATCTGCTGTTGGTACTTTTTGCTCTATTTGTGTGGCTGTTTTCCCAGTGCTCTATTAAGCCCTGCCAGCTCCTGTGCTTCTCCGTCTGCACGGTCCCCATTGTCACAGTATTGATCAACTACTTCGCCGATTCTTGAGTGTGTGGTTGACTGTTCTGTCCTTGACTGTAGCTAAGTGCCTATTTTGTTGGCATTTTCTCCTGTGTCATCATTAGCTGTAGTCCTCTGTGTGTGCTTCAGAGATGGGAGGAGGAGGAGGGCTTTGAATGCGATGCATTGGGATCCACTCTCAGAAAGTGACTGGGCAAAGTAAATAACAACTGGAGTGCACAATCGCTTCTGAGGTGCAGTTTATGTGGTCTAAATAGATGCATTCTTATGTGGTGTTGCTTTAAAATTGTAAGACTACACCATTTTCAAATTGCTGTGGTACTTTGAATCGCAATACAGGTTTTGTATTTGCTTCTTCAAGCTATTGCACATTCAAATTCATGCATGCAGAAGTCATCGTCCATACATCTTTCTCTGCTTGAGAGATTACACATTTCTTTCTATTCCTATTCTTCCAGGTGACTTGGATTATTACTGGCTGGATCCTGCCACGTGGCACAGCAGGGAGACATCCCCTATTAGTTCGGTAAGAAACACTAAAAAAGGTTCATAAATGTGAAAATGTTTGCCGATTGTTTCAGTTCGGCATAGGTATTTTGTTGTAGAGAATTATTCTATACAAATGTTATAAAAATTTGGTTTAGTGGGTCATGGAAGTTGAAATCTGAAAGGAATTTTCATCGAAATGTACACTAGTAAAATTGCCTGAATTTTAACTTTGATTCTTTTGTAGGCATGATACTACATTTTGTTACACACCGTAAGAGCAGCTGTGAGTGTGATGCTGCTCTGGGAGAGATTAGTGACTTTTTCTGTTAACCAGAGTGGGAAAGGATCATTTGGATTTTTATTATATAGTGGACCCATATGGTAGAGCTGTTTAACAAGTGTATTATTCTAAAGAACAGAATTTGCTAATACACTTTTCAGGGTCATGGAATTTAAAAGTAAGTCTTTCATTTTATTACCTAAAACATTAGATGTTTTAAATGTTTAATCGTGTTGAACTTTGATTTGTATTACAATTCTACCTGCAGGCTTAGTGCTGAGTTTTTCTGCAGTGTACATACATATTTAATGAAGCTAGAGTCCAACAGATATAATAATAGAAAGCTCAGGTGCTATATGTAACACATCTGAAGGATGTTTGTGTCTACTGTGATATATGTTTCAGAGATTGTATTGGTTTATAAATATGCGTCTAAATAGAGGAAGGTGGTTGCACTTCTTTAATTCCACTGTTTTTTTTTTTAAAACAGCATCCCGTAACGTGGCAGCCTTCTAAAGAGGGAGATCGCTTAATTGGGCGTGTTATTCTTAACAAGAGAACAACCATGCCAAAAGAATCAGGTGCATTACTGGGGCTAAAAGTAAGTACTACCTGTTTAGGTGGTAAATGAAAAAAACTTCCACTGACCTTAGACCTAGAGTTCTAATACATTAAATCAGAGGACTCTCCAATTATAGTCATTTGACAAAACCAGATTCCTCATTTTCAGTAAGTATTCAAAGTTATACAGATAAATTGCAAATGTAAATATATTTAATCCTTCTCTGCAGTCTTCCACTCATCTGTGGCAAAGGAGCCGAACCGTTCTGAGTAAAAAGTATATGTTTATTCAGCTTCCCGTCTGCAAGATATACACCACACATTGCAATAACTCTATTGTTTGCATTTCATTAAACTAATTCATCTTGTAATCCACGTACATAAATGTCACCTAGATACAAATGTTTACAAGGTCTGTTTAAAAACCGCACAGACATTTGGAAACAGAAATTTTGTAGAATAAACCCAAACATTTACACAAAAATTTGCAAAAACCCCTCTTAAAGAGATTATATTAAATGTAATTCCAGTTAATCTTCTGCCCCAAAACAGAGACATTGTCAACACTGGCCTGTTTATTTAAATCCCTTAATTAGTAATTTGTAGCAGACTTTTAGATTCATGTCCCTGAGTTGCCAGAACACTTAAAAGAGAGAGAGTGCTACTTCTGAAACTGATAGGAAGTACAGTATGCCACTTCAAAAATTTCTCTCTCCATATGTATTTTTAATTATATGGAGCTCTAAAGATGACTGAGAGGATTTAATTTGTGCCTTTTGCTGTCCCCACTGAGAAGAGAAACAGTGCAAAATAGGAAACATTCCCATCCACTTAGGCCTGAGTCTTCTTCAAAGGGCACTGATACTAAAATGATCCTTGCATAGAGTTGTCCCTCACACATGGCAGAGATGTGGGTTGCTGGTTTTGGTCATCGTGGTGGGAATTAAATTGGAATAGAGCCTTGTGAACTTTGTGATGGCATGTCCTGGGTAAGAGCATTTATCCAGCTTGAAGTGGAATAGTGTGGTGTGGGAACACGGAAGATGAGAACAGCTTGACTCTCCTAAATGTCTAGCAGTCTGTAGCACAAGGATGATTTTTGCTGGCAGAAGCAAAATTTTTTAGCATGTAAGAATAAAGGTTGGTACTAGTAGGAAATGTAGATTGGAGAGCTTGTCTTTGATTTTTCAAGTTTCAATTTTGTATGATACGAACTAAGGCCTCCACTGATAAATTTAACACATTATCTTGTGACAACCTTGTTGACAGGCGGGCTTGTGGATCTTCTTGGATATAGCTGTATTAAAGCTCCTGATAATTATTGAGATTGCAACATGGGGAAATAATACCAGTATTCCACTTTGTTTTATTACATTATTAGATTACATGTGTTACATAGTTCTATTTTATTGTATTACAAACTCCTCCAAGGATATTCCTGACCAAAAAAAAAGAAAAAGAAAGAAACAAACACCCCCTGTCCCGAAAAAAACAAAACCCAAACAAAATCGAAACAACTGACTGAGGAGAGCAAGGTAGATAAAGAGAATAGCAAGTTTGCAAGACTATATTTTCTTGTTTAACATTTTATTAAAAATCTAATGTCTGGAGGGCACCTTTTTTCCCCTCAACCTCTGCATCATGCGGTTGTCTTCAAAAATAACTCTCTTCAGTTCTGTTTAACAAAAAACAGAAGAAGTTACTGGTTTGTCTTGTCATGTCCTTGGATCAGAGGGCCGGGGTTTTAGCAGTAGCAACACTCTTGTGAACTATTTGCTCATGTTTCATAGCAGTGTATTTGTTCAGTTTTTTTGTTGTTGTACCAATTGCGTTTTTTGTTGTTGCACCAATTGCATTTTGCAATTTTCATACATTTGAGTTGACATGCACTTGCAATTTAAAGTTAAGCACATGACAGACATCTATTCACAAAAAATACATTTTCTTGGTTATTTATTAAGAAATGTTCTTTCTGTAACAAATTTAGGTACTTAGCAAACTGCATACAATTGATGAGTTAAATGCATGAAACAAAGATCAATCTTATTTCTGTGGCAGCTTTACTTTTTTTGATGTAGGTCTGGCCTTGTATATTTAACTTTGTCTTTAAGCTTCTGTAAAGCCCAAATTGACAATATATTGGCTTATGCGTATTTAAGGTTTAATTTTAAAAATAATGTGAAAAACTGATCTGTCTATATATTTATGCTTGATATGATGTCTGTCTTGTGGCTTGGAAACTCAGAAATTTATGATTAACCAGGTTGTTGGAGGAAAAATGACAGAATTAGGACGACTCGGTGCCTTCATTACCAAAGTGAAGAAAGGTAGCTTGGCTGATGTGGTGGGGCATCTCAGAGCAGGTAAATTAATCAGTTGAATACAAAATATATTGTCTTTTAATTATGGGGTTTTGTATTGCAGCTGTCAATTTATATTAACATTGGTTGTGTGATATGCTAATATTTTTTAAATACAGGAGAATACTGTAATGTTTTTATGGAATGCTATGGTTGCCTACATTTCTAATTTATTATTGACTCCAATTGCTTGATTATATGAGCAAAACACAGGACATGCCTAATAAGTGCTGGTGTCAGCACTGAGTGTCACTACTAAATTTTTGCTTGCTAGCTCATGAGCTGCTTGTTACACTTTACAGAAGCAATGCAAACATTTTTTAAATATTTTTTTTTTATTGTGGCCAACAAAGCTCACTACAGTTACTTTACCTGCACTAGAGCATCACATGAAGAATGATGGGCTGTGTACACAGTGGACTTTATTAGTGCTTCTTTCAATGTGAGTTGTTAGAAATAAAAATGGAAAGCAACCCAAGAAAATAGTCTTGAAATATTTCATTTATATAGGATGTATATTGCACTTAAAAATACGTGGCTGTGCTGTCAGCACTTTCCAAGCTTCTAAATGAAGCAAGAACTATGCAGAGAAGTTGATAAGTTATATCTTGGCAGTTTATATTTTTACAATGCCTCTAAGCAACTACTTTCCAAATGTTGTCTTAGCAAACCAAAGTCTATCCAATGCCTTCTCAGGAATCTAGAAGCTCTTATGACAACATGTATGAATTTAGTATAATTGCATGAAGCTAATAGTAAAGAAGGAGAAAACATATTGAGTCTCAAAACATATCCAACTTGGGTTTGGCATTTTGTTTTGTGGGGATTTTTGTTTTGGTTTTTTACTGAGTCCATATACATGGAGTTGATATCACCACTTATAGTCATTTATAGATTTTAACTGTAGATTATAACTACAGAAAAGAAGTTTCTCTCCTTTTGAACTATTTGGACTGAAATCCTATATTTCTAATGTCTGTAATGCTTTTTAAGTCAAAGCTACTTTAAATTTCTAAAAATATTTTTAGAGCTAAAATAATTTCACAGGAAACATCTGTTGTCTTGTGCATGTTTTCAATGAATTAAAGTCTGTTCATCCTATTTTATAGGATAGATGAATCCTTGCTGGTAGGAAAACACCTTTTTGAAAAACCTCCAAAATTTGGGTAGTTGATAGATATTGGAGTAGCTGTACAAACCTCATAAATTTTAACAAAGGCAAATAGGAAATCTTGCATCAGGGAAAGAATAACCCAGTGCAGCAGTAAGCACTAGGAGCCAATTAACTGGAAAACAACTTGACAGAAAAGCATGTGGAAGTGCTAGAGGACACTAAATTGAACACAAGTCAGCAAAACACCCTTACAGCAGATACCAATCATGTACAGGCCTGTATTAACAGGATCATCACCAGGAGGTTGAGAAAGGTGGTTGTGGCTCTCTATTCGATGCTTATGAGGCTGAATCAGAGTCCTTTTTCCACTTTGGGTTCCTCTAGTAGAAGAGAGAGATTGACAAACTGGACCAGATTTGGCAGAGGAACAGAAAGTTGATTAAGGGTCTGGAGCATATTGTATACAAGAAGGTGAAAGAACTGGGTTTGTTCAAGCTGTTACATAAAATACTATGGGAGGGTCTAATTCTTGTTTCTACCTCGCTAATGGGAGGCTGTAGAGAACCCAGAGCTGTACTGATCTCATGGGTGCACACTGAACACACAAGAAGCAACATGCACAAGCTGGAATAAGGGAAATCCTGTCTGTGAAAAGGTTTTATCTTCTATCTAGAGAGGATAGTTAAGGAACAAGTCGTCCAGAGGAGATTTTGTAGATCCTTCCTTGGAGATAGCCCAATCTCATCTGGTCAAACCCCAGTCCCTGAAGAATGTGGTCTATCCTTTGATGTTGGCTCTACTTTGAGCAGGGCCTGGAACTAGCTGACCCCCAGAGGTTTCTACCTATCCCAATTCCAAAACTTCTATTAGAAATCAGTATAAAAAAAATCTGAGATTTGCAGCACAAGCCTGAAAACTTGCTCTCTCTGCTGAAATACGCATCAGAAAGTGGGGGTAGAATGCGAGATGCATTAAAATGCCTTTCTAGAGGCATCCTAGACATCCTGGGGTATATGCCTCACCAGCAGAAGTGGCTCCATAGGGGTGCAGATATCCTGTAGGTTTTACCAGCCAGCCTTGTGTAAATATCTTGGTTACCACGACCAGCTGCAGGGTAAGGTCTCTAACAGCTCCTTCACTGATCGACTTGCAACTCTGGGCTACTGCAATGGGACTTAAGATCATGGAGTCCTCACCTGAATACGTAGGAGTGTATTGCAGGATCGCAGAATAGTTGAGGTGGATAGGAACCTCTCGAGATCACTAGTCCAACCCCACTGCTTAAGAAGGGTCATCTAGAGCTCTAGGGTTTGAGTATCCGGATGGCGTTTTCCTGTTTCCATACTTGTTACTGAGAGCAGAAATCCGAATGTAAGCTTTATAGACAGCATCTCAGATGAAAGAGACAATGTAACAGGGCCTGACTGGTCAAAAAGATGAAGAACTGGAGAAGCTGAGCAAAAGATGGATGGTGGTGATCTCATTAGAACTAGCGCAAGCGTCACTTCACACAAATCTCCATTTGGATCTTGTTTAAGTATGAGTAATTGAAGCCACCTCTGTTAACTTAGCATTCTGACTGTGATGATCTTATGTTCAACATCTTGGCAATTCCTTTTTTTTCATTTTTAACTCGACTGATCTTCTGATAACTCTCAAAAATGAAAAAGCTGTTTAAGTCCTTTAAAATAGCAATACAGACACTTTGCATGTTCCTCTTCAGGATTCTCAACCATGTTGCACCTGCTTTATCTTCTTCAAAATGTGATAGATTGCTGTGTAAACTAGCTTTAAATTGTGATTTATTTTTTTTTAGTGTTACAAATTTAGCATATGTCCCTGTTGGCTTTTGCTATTATACTATAACCATTGCAAAGCTGTCCACAGCTTGTTCCTTTTAATGCCTGGAATGCTTTTGTAAATTAAGCCAATCATCTCTAAAGAAATCAGATTTTATTTTAGGGAAAAACAACATGTTAGTTTAGCAGAACTGTTAGCTTTAAAATACAGTCAGAATTACAGAAGAATCTGAGTATGTTTTCACTGAGTTGCATAAATTTTAAATGAAGTTCCTAGGCAACATCTAATTCCTGTTCCTCTCTGACATAAGATTATGTAATAGATACATGAAATATTTAAAACTGGTTCAGCTAAAAAATGTGGTAGAAAATTAAACTTAAGTCAACAAGCACTTATTAAGTCTGTCGTTAGCAAGCTCTCATTTTTTAAAGAATGCCAAAATACTCTGAAAGCCAGTGGAATACTCTGTGGAGTCCTTTCTGAAAATACCAAAATACAGGCTGTTTGGGAAAAAGGACTGAACATAAAGAGAGATTGAAGCCACTTGTTTTGGTAGACAGGGCTTGAGTTAGGATAGTTTTCCTTGGATTATTAGGTGCAAGTCTGATAATTTGGCTTGGATCTTCTTGGAAGGGAGCAAAGCCAGTGACTGAAGGATTGTTCCTGACATAAATAATTGTAATAAAGTTATCTGTATCATCAGATAGTGGTTGTGCAGTTGACTGCTGCATGTGATGGGATGTAAGAGTGTAAATTTACCCTACGGTTCCTGCAATTTAATAGTACACACTGATCTTTCTTTAGAAACTATAGTCCAAGGTTTTCACATTTTTAAAATAAGGCCTAAATGCAATGTAATGTACATACTATTTAAGTTCCAGAAACGGCAAGCTGAAAAAAGCAGCTTATCTAAATAACTTGGACATCATGTTTTTCTTTCTGTACCCCCTAAACTCCTCAGGAGATAGTGACTTACTCTTTGTTTTTATTTTTAGTTCTTTTGACAGACAGTAAAGACTGTCCTTGTTGTAGAGTAATCAAAATGCACAGTATAGAAATTGTAATAAAATGCCATAATTTTTAAAGACTTAACAGTAGGTATTTGTACTTCTCATTATTGAAGATTAACCTGTTTTTAAAGTTTATTACCACTACATAATAAAGCATCTTTTAAAGTGCTCTTTCATTTCATAGCACAATAACAGATTTTGTATTATTTTGGAAATACTTAATGTGTTTGCACAGGTGTGTTTTGTGTGTACAAGTTGTAGTTGTGTTCTGAGAAAGGAGCCTTCATAGTGTCTCAAAACCCCTATTTTGCATTTCAGTACAGCTTTTTAATTGTTTTCAAGCAATGTTGCTTAGAAATGCTCTGCACTTCTTTGTAAAAGAATATAGAAATGAGATAAACTTCTCTTTAAATTCAAGGGGATGAAGTTCTAGAATGGAATGGTAAACCCTTGCCTGGAGCTACAAATGAAGAAGTTTACAACATTATTTTAGAATCAAAATCAGAACCTCAAGTTGAAATTATTGTTTCAAGGCCTATTGGGTAAGGTTAAAGACTTGCTTCCTAAACATACTTATTACTTATGCTAATGGGACTTTTAAAAGGACTGTTTATGAGTTCACTATTTTTTACCTCATAATAAGGGAATGGGATTCACTTTCTGTTATTGACATTCTGTATATTCCATTTTCTTCACTACCACTCACAGTCTTGGCACTTTGCAGTGATACATATAGTATAAACGTTGTTTTCCGTATAGTCCAAGTACTAAGAATTTTTTTGCCAAGTGATAAAGGAAAATTGGTGAATCAAGTGGACCTGCACTTAAGAAAATCCTATTTTTTAGGTTATTTAGCTTCACTAAGTTGGAATAATATCTATGAGTATTCATTAGTAGAAGGAAGCATCAGCAAACATTGAGCACTGGAGGATGCTAGTAGGATTTTAAAGCTTCTTTAAAGAGCTTAAAAAGAAAATCCCAAACTCTTAATTGAAAAGACTATATTTAGCCTTAAATCATACTGTCATCAAAATCAAGAGTGGAAGCAAAGTTTCATCAAAAATTAGCATTAGTGTGTTTGATGTTTTTAACTTTAATGTGTTTAGTGTGTTTAAAGTTTTTAACTTTAATGTTTACTCATTAGAAATCCAGGTTTGACATTTTGTGATAATTCTTATAGCCTTCATATCCCAAATGAGCCTTGGAAAGATGATAAAATCTGTTTGAATTTATAGCATTAATGGGGTTGGCCCTACATTTGTCACAATTGCTTTAGTGATAATCTACTTTCCTTCCCTGAATATGACTCTTTTGGGACTGTTTTGAGCTAAGTCTTACGGGATTGACTATGAATCATATATTATAAATACACATTTATATTGTGGAACAGAGTCACATCATTAATAATAAAAAGTGAGTCTTGACTTTTATTAAGAAATAAAAGGATTTGAATCTGTCTAGTTTGTCACCTATGCAGATTTCATGAGCACTCACTCTAAGTCTCTAAATACCATTATGCTGTAGGTAGATGGTAAACTATTTCCTCCTTAGGAATGTATGATTATTTCATTTTGAATTTGCTGGTTTTCATCTTAATTATAATTTTATCTGTCTTAAATATGATAAATCCTCAATTTCAGAAAACAAAAAACCTATTAATTTTCCGACTAAAACATTCTTCTTTTATTTCCTGTCAGCCTTTGGTTTTTGATTTTGTCTATACTGTGAAAGTGTACCTGTATTTTGCAGATGAGTTCTGCGTTTTTAATAGCAATAAGTATTAAAAGTACTTAAATGAAATTAGCAAGTGTCGCTAATTCCAGTTACGAGTTTGACCTTCTAATGGAAAATGGAAGCTTGATGCAATAATAGTGGTTGTTAAAGGGTAAAATTACCGTCCAGATGGAGACTGTGGGGGAGTATGAAACCTTACTTTACATTCTTGAGTTGGATAAATTAGGAGACATTCCTGACTAAAATATCATTGTACAGCGAAGGAAATCCTGATATTAGTTAACAAAAAAAGAACATACTCCACAGTATTTTTTTTTTAATATTTATAATATATGTAACTTGTGTTTCATAGTGGGAATTTGTTTCCTTGCATTAACAGATTATTCTTTTTTCCCCCTGGCTTCTTCTTGTCTTGCTAGCTGAACTGTGTGATTTTCAGGCTAATGATAGAGAATTTTATTTAATCCAACATATCTAGTATATCAAAGTCTACATTAGGTCCTGACTCAGCAGAATTGAAGCTGCTCGATACAGCATTAAGTGGTAATCCATTACATCTAAAACTCCTGTGAGAAATAGGTTCCCGAAAGACCTGAAAAAATGATATTTCGTCTGCATAATTTAAGTGTTTTCATCTCTCAGTATTAATAATGCAAATAATGCACCAGCGATTTTAATGGTCCCAATTTAAAAAGTCCTAGCATACTAGATCTAAAAAGCCCAAATATGGCACAGTTTGGATAAAGTGAATAATTGGGGGAATGTAAGCCCACAAATTAGACTGCCAGTTATAAAATTCATGTCTAAACAATTTGCTCAGTCTTGTAAATTTGGATTTCTGTGTCTACCGGCAAATGTAATTTTGGGTAATGGATAATTGTAGGATGTTTATTAGAGAAAAATGTGAAACGTAACACTATTAGCAAATGAAGGCATAACAACAATAAACAGTATAACCACAATAGTACCGCCAAAACTCCATAGAAACTAATTGATACTAATGCTCATGACTGCAACACAAGGTAGATGAGAAACCTATAAAAAAGTAGAATTAATGGGTTGGCTATCTAAATATGAGGGGAAGAATTACCTATGAGTATGCATACAACGTGAGAGATGGTTGACATAGGACAGTGTAGAAAATCCTCTGGCAGCACGCTTTTTGGAGAAGAAACTTGGCATGGTAACTAACTCACCATCTCTTGCGTGCTTGGATGAGCTCTATGGAATAGTGCAGGTAAAAGGATTTTTTTGTGTGTGTGTGTCTCTTTTCTTTGTCAGATGCTAGCTGTCTTTGCCTTGGATTTTCACAGATAAAATTGCCAAGATTGATGTCTCTCTGGTGTGATTCAGCTCCTCTATGCAGGGACTGCTACTGCACTCTAGGTCCTCACAAGGAGGTTGAATCTCCATCATAAATCAGGCAGAACTGAATTCCAGAGAGTTGCTCAAGTAATGCAATTAGTGCAAACTGCAGGTTGATCTACAGGTTCTGATGGAATGAAACAGTTTTGGAAATAGGAGGATTAGCATTGGGGAGAGGTTCTCAGAAACTCTGAAAACTCCGTAGGGTATAGAGGACAATGCCTCGATCCCTAGAGCAACCTAAAAAAGTGTGGGTTACAATAGGAAAAATTTATATAA